TACAATGAGATCCCTTTTCATGTTGTTGATAGTTTCTTTTGCTGTGCCACTCTAATCTGTCATGATCACAGTGGATTGTAGGTCCAAGGCATAGGGAAGTGAAGCCTAGGACCTAGGTTTTTGAGGAGGAAAAGTCAACCTAGGACCCTCATTGAGCATTTGTTGTTAGTAGTGCATTCGGACTGTTGATATCAGCCTCATATATCTTTTATCTTTCACCTCAGACAGTGTTCCTCACTGAATCTTTAGGAGGTTAATTAAAATGTGTTTGAGGAAGCCTATAGAGCTGGGTTTCTTCCTTGACCTGGACTCACTCCTTCAATGGATGGGTAATTATTTCTATAAAGTCTGTCTTTAAATTTGTCTGTGCTTTTCCTCTCAGATCTATCTCTGACCTCAATCCTAGGGTCCTAAGGTAGCATGCCTGTAGTACCAAACAAGAAGATGGACAAAGGTGATGATTCTGAGCAAATAGTCAACAGCTGTTCAGTGATGGCCCTCGAGGTCTGGAGCATTGCTCAGAAGAGAGGCAGCCCTTTAATGAAGGCCTTGGTCCAGCCTATTCTCTTTCGTAGTTGACTCATCACACTTTTCATTTCTTTGCCCAGCTCTTGCAGACCTAGACCTTCCTCGATGCCAAAACCAAACTCCACTGCTGTGACTGAGTTCCTCTTTGAAGGTTTCTCCAGCTTCGGGTGGCAGCACAGGCTTGTCTTCTTTGTTGTCTTTCTAACTTTGTATCTGCTGACTCTCTCGGGCAATGCCATTATTGTTAGCATTATTTGCATGGACCGTCACCTCCATACGCCCATGTACTTTTTCCTGAGCATGCTGTCCATCTCCGAGACCTGCTATACCGTGGCCATCATTCCCCAGATGCTCTCTGGCCTGCTGAGTCCTCATCAACCCATTGCTGTCCAAGGCTGTGCCACTCAGCTCTTCTTCTATCTCACCTTTGGTATCAACAACTGCTTTCTGCTCGTGGCCATGGGGTATGATCGCTATGTGGCCATCTGCAACCCCCTGCGGTACTCGGTCATCATGGGTAAGGAGGCCTGTGTGCGGTTTGTATCTGGGTCACTGGGAATTGGTCTGGGCATGGCCACTGTTCAAGTAACCTCTGTGTTTTGCCTCCCCTTCTGTGATGCCTTTGTTATCTCTCACTTCTTCTGTGACGTGAGACCCTTGCTGAAGCTGGCCTGCATAGACACCACGGCCAATGAAATCATCAACTTTGTGGTCAGCATCTGCGTCCTTGTTCTGCCCATGAGCCTGGTCTTTGTCTCGTATGTCCTCATCATCTCCACCATTCTCAAGATCTCTTCCGCTGAGGGCCGGAAGAAGGCCTTTGCCACCTGCGCCTCCCACCTCACAGTGGTCGTCATCCACTATGGCTGTGCCTCCATCGTCTATCTCAAGCCTAAGTCCCAGAGTTCCATAGGCCAGGACAGACTCATCTCAGTGACCTACACCGTCATCACTCCCCTGCTAAACCCCGTCGTGTACAGCCTGAGGAACAAGGAGGTCAAAGACGCTCTGTGCAGAGCCATGGGGCGAAAGCCCCGGTCCCCTTAATGCGGAGTGGTTGTGAAGGCCTTTTATTTGATTTATCAATATGTATTGATCTTAATGCTGTTTCAGTAATGTCTTTAAATATAGGATTAAGAAGAGTAGACTGCCCTAGCCAGTTTGGCTCAGTGGATAGAGCGTCGGCCTGTGAACTAAAAGGTCCCAGGTTTGATTCCAGTCAAGGGCACATGCCCGGGTTGTGGGCTGGATCCCCAGTCGGGGACTTGCAGGTGGCAGCTGATCCATGATTCTCTCTCATCATGGATGTTTCTATCTCTCTCTCCTTCTTCCTTCCTCTCTGAAATCAATAAAAAAATATATTAAAAAAAAGAATAGTAGACTAAGTTTAATTGGGTATTAAAACTGAAGGCTTCCATTTGAACTAATCACTGTTCTTTAACACCCTCCTTCAGATAAGATAAAAAATGACTTCACATACAGTTAAGAATGTAAGAAAAAGATTTACATGCCTGAGCCATTCATATCCATGTTCTCTCACACACACATGCACATACCTATATACACCCTGAGGATATGTTAAGTTATACAACTCCATTAAGACACAGAATACAGCAAAGTTCTTAAGAGCTAAAAGAAACCATATTAGAAAGACTTTTGTGTGTGTGTAATTATGGGTGTAGGAGTAATTTTTGTAAATATTTTAACAACTAAGTGAGGAGACATGCCCGTGTATCTTTTCTAGTGGACACTGAAGGCTTTATTGTAATATGTGTTTGCCACTTGCTAAGATCCTATCACAGCCTAAAGAATCATCAAAAGATGTCACACACACTTTCCAAGTGACTGGAACTACCCTAACTGACCATTCCTGGGAATGAGGAGGGCAAATGTGGGAAAGCAAAAACCACCAGCTACTGAGAGCCCAAAGGTGGGTGGTTCATAGTGCAGAGATGTCTAGGTGAGAAAACTCCAATTATAAAGCAGGACATGCTGAAACGTCCATTGCTTTTCACATTCCTATTCGGGAGTGAAAGAGGATGGAGGTTGGAAAGAGTCAAGCAAAAATATAGTTTCTTTTGCAAGATAAAGCTAAACTCTTTGAAAGAGTATTAAGTGTCAGCACGTTAACGAAAACTTCTGGAAATATTTATTAATGAGCGGAAGTCTGAAGCTTGACTTCAAAAGAATTTCCAGTAAGTTCCTAAGCCTGCAGAGGCTAATCTTCAGAAATGTCTCCTTAGATACTTCAGCTTAAAACCACAGTTGATAAAAGCAGTTCATGTGTGAGCATCACAGAAGGTGAACACACATGCTCTGCTGCGAGGAGAAATCCGCTCTCTCTCATCCTTCCACGCCGCTCTGGCCTTCGATATTGAGGATCAAGCCCAGCCCGAGTTTCAAACACAGCTCTCCACAGGCCCCGGTGCCCAGCTGGTACAAGCGATGACCCTGCAAAAGCTCGTGAGAGTGTCATGAGGTCTGCGGGGCACTGAGGTTGGGACAGGTCAGTGGAAGTTAACAAATCCCCTAAGTAAAGTTACTACGTCTCACTTCCCACAAAACACTGGCATGCGAAGTCTGAGAGATAAAAGATACCTTGCCTTTGTGTCCAGATTTCTAGAAATGATAGAGCCAGTACATTTCTGTGAGGATAGTCACAGAGCAATTATAAAAACTGTTTCCTTAGTAGATCTGCTTCATCTAGATAAAAAGGTTAGGTAAAGCTCTGGTGGCCTGTGTCACCCTGTCTTCTGTTTGAAGTGGTCTCTAGCTGAGGCTGTGGTACGCTAGGCTGATGGCTCCCCTTGAGGATCCACATTCATTCTTTCAGCGGCTGGGCGTGTCCTGGGCTGACAGTTCTCAGCTGAGTCCCTCTTCAGGACTTGCCCTTGCGAAGAGCTGCCTCCTCCAAAGTCCCATGGATGGCCTCCATGACTTGCTATTTCAGGGTCTGAACATGGGCCCAGACCTCAATTTAAGATGTCCAGGAAGGGCGGTCCCAGTTCCAGGGCTCTCCGCTGCGCCAGGGTTTGAGGGTTTTGAGGCTTTTGCTGTGTCTCTGTCACGTTTCTTTTGCCCAGTCCTGCTTCCTTCGCTCTCATGCAGGGGTTGATGCTGAGTGCACTCCCTGATAAACTAGTGGCATTCACATCTCCGTTTCAGAGTCTGTTTCTGGAAGCCTCCATTCACAACATTTTAGGACCCCATTTCTAGAACAGCAATTGGCAAGTGGGGCCCCAAATTTTCAGTGTTGATATTTGCTAACTAAGGCAGAAGGCCAGTTATCTATTTTAATTTAAAAAAATAATGTTATCCTATGAACTGAACTATATTTGCTGTGGCTCAGTTCAGTTGGCAGCAGTTTAAGTATTATTTTCTTGGAAACGGGTTAAAAATTAAGATCTAAATTTTTCTCAGAATCTACAAAAAATCATCCCCTTGTCTTAAAAATTTTGTTTGTGAATGATTTCAATATTATTGTTAGATCCATATTGTCTCACGATTAGTTTAGTCTCTTTCTAATGGGTGGCCTTAGAAGAGGCTGTAACTTAGTCCCATTTACTCCATGAAAAATCAACAAACCAACAATGTCTAAATCCTTTGCTTGAGATTTATTCTGTTCTGGACTTTTATTCAGAGCAGAGAGTTCTGATTATTACTATTTACTAGAATTTCTTTACAAGATGCTTAGTTCAGGTGCTGTAAGAGGGTATTAAAGATATACGTTTAGGCCCTAACTGGTTTGGCTCAGTGGATAGAGCGTCAGCCTGTGGGCTCATGGGTCCCAGGTTCAATTCCGCTCAAGGACATGTACCTTGGTTGCGGGCACATCACCAGTAGGGAGTGTGCAGGCGGCAGGTGATTGATGTTTCTCTCTCATTGATGTTTCCAACTCTCTATCCCTTTCCCTTCCTCTCTGTAAAAAAAAAAAAAAAATCAATAAAATATATTTAAAAAAATAAAAAATAAAGATATGTTTAGGGGATTCTAGAGGGAGGAAACAATCACAAGGGAATCTTAGACTGACCTTCAACCCCTAAGTTCTATGGCTCAAGACTGCCCCAGATTCTGCCAAGACCTAGAAGCTCATGGATAGTAAATTGAAGAGAGAACATAAAAATGATCAACCTCACTAGCATTCCACCATGTCTTCTCATTCCTAGCTTATACTTACTATGGTCAAGAGACAACTTGTCTAATCTAAAACTTCATGGTTTTTGCTTCCAGAAGAAGAAGGAGGAGGAAGAGGAGGAGGAGGAGGAGGAGGAGGAGGAGGAGGAGGAGGAGGAGGAGGAGAAGGAGGAGGAAAGAAACTGGCAAGCCTCGGATACTTGGAAGCAACATATCATTTCATACTTCTTTTATTAAAATTGTACTTTTCTTTCACAACTATATAAATAAATGTATAAACAGGTGTATAAATGAACCTATACATTCTTTTACTTATTTAACAGATGTTTATTGAGCACTTATTATTACATGCCACTTAACCAGTGTCATTTGGTTTAGTGAGCAGTTCAGTTGAACACAGATTTTTCTATGGACATTGTGAGTTGGGTGTGACAACAGAAGCAATAGCGGATGCCAGAAGGAAATTGCTGTTGCAAATGTTTCTTGAGCAGTGACGTCACTTCTTCGGGGGGGTTGGCTTAGGCTGTGGGTCCATAGATTTGTTGCCTTTTCTGGTGGTCCTGATCTTCAAGAGGAATGTGAACTGCTGCTGGGTTGAGATAAACAGCCCCGTGTCCACAGCAAACAGGATCACCACCAAAACTGGGATAAGGAGTTGCTGCCGGTAGTAGCTGCTTTGGTGAGATGTGCTGGAATCTAGGTGCAACAAGAAACACAACATTATTGAATAATATTAAAAATTGAACTGCAAGTTTCAGAGCTTCATCCTCCCCAAGAGAAGGGACCGGCATGGTCTTCCCTATTCTAGCATGTCATGGCATTTCTCAGGTGCAGGGAGAAAACACTTCTGAGTTTGGGTTCCTTAGACTGTGCTCCCTGGAGCCCTAGGGAGTCCTGAATATCTCCCCAAGCCCTTGTCTGACAGTTTCTCTAGCCCAGTGGTTCTCAACCTTCCTAATGCCGCCATGCTTTAATACAGTTCCTCATGTTGTGGTGACCCCCAATTTCATTGTTACAAATTGAACATAATTAAAGCATAGTGATTAATCACAAAAACAATATGTAATTATATATGTGTTTTCCGATGGTCTTAGGCGACCCCTGTGAAAGGGTCATTTGACCCCAAAGGGGTCGCGACCCACAGGTTGAGAACCGCTGCCTAGCCAATATGCCCAACGGGGAAGGTAATAGAAAAAATAACCCCTTTCTTGAAACTGAAAAGACCAACATCCACAAATTATTTGGGATAGAAAGGAGACAGAGTGAGGTCAGGAGGATCAGTATCTTATTTATCAAACAATCAATCATCATTCTTGCATGCCTTTTGGGTAAAATGAAGATATTGAACAAAATCATCTTTAAGTTTCCTTCCAGTTTCACTATTTTGTGACTCTGTTACTCTTTTTACAAAGTACCGCTTTTGGCTTTTGGTGATTATTCTAGAATTATAGAGACCCAGAATATTAAAGCCAGATATTACTTAGAGCTCACCTAGATCAGTGGCTCTGAACACTGTCTATTCATTACCATTACCTGAAAGAGCTTTTAAAAATACTGATGTGTGTACACCCTATCTAATCAAAGTCAGAATTTCTAAGAATGAGATATGAACACCAATATTGTTTTTCAATTTCTCCAAGTGATTCTAATAAAGTCTGGACCCAACCCTTTATTTTATCGATAAAGATATTGAACAATTAAATGGTATTTAGGTCTCAAATTAGTTAACAGAGAGCTGCCACTAGAGCCTAATTCTAGCTTCTGGACTCATGCTTTTGTAGACATTAGTATGAGCCAAGTTTGCCAATTTCCTCCTGGAAAGGCAAAGGCTCTCTCTTTCATATGAAGTTTGGGAAGAGCAGTCCTTTTCATTGGCTGCCCACCTGCCCATTTTTTCCTCATTAAGCCCTCTCTCTTCTCCCAATATACAGGCACACAGCCTACTGAATTATTGGTTTTCTTACCCATCCCTCCTAGGCAAAATAGACTAAGTTCTTCACAGCCTTTGTTCCTTCAACTTTGATACTTTCTTTCAATTCAATAGATATGTGTCGCACAAGGAGCAGCAGGTGACTTTGAGATCAAAACTAATTGCAATGTGTTATGCTTGGGTAGTGCTTAACAAATTACAAATCCATTTCACAAATATTACCACATTTAATCTTTATAGAAATGCCATAATATGAGCAGGTATTACTATCGCCATTAAACAAACCAAAAATAAACCTAAGCCAGAGATTGAGAACTATACTGTAGTCCATGACTCTCCATTGGAAGTTTAGTCAATTTTCTAAGGGATCACGGCTACCCCCATTTTACAAGCTGTTACTATTTCAAGTTGAGATGTCGTCTTTCCCTTCCTCTGCTATAGGCTCCTTCCTTTCTTGTACTAACTCACCTTTTAAAATAGTACTTGTATTGATTTCAGAGAGGAAGGGAGAGGGAGAGAAAGATAGAAACATCAATGACGAGAGAGAATCATTGATCGGCTGCCTCCTGCATGCCCCACACTGGGGATTGAGCCCGCAACCCAGGCATGTGCCCACTGGGAATCGAACTGTGGCCTCCTGGTTCATAGGTACAGTGCTCAACCACTGAGCCATGCCAGCCAGGCCTAACTCACCTTTTCTTATAGTAATCTTGAGGGATTCAGAGGTATAGTTCATCTGCCAAATTTTGCCTGTGCAGTAATAGTTGCCGCTATCATTCAGGGTGGCATTGGTAATGGAGAGGTTGTGGTTCTCATACCAGTACTTCAGTGCTTGGCCATTCTTGTAGTAAATCACCTTGAAGACGTTTCTATCCTTCCAACCGTGACACCTGATGAGGAAGGACTCACCCTCCAGTACCACCTCAGAAGAGGACTGAAGGAGCAGCCAATCTGAAGAGCATTTATGATGTTACTTATTTAACAGTGAACAAATAGATTATACAGATAGATTTGGGATAGATGAATAACAGGTAGATAAAATGAATGAGGTCCTGCATTGAGTCTGTCAGAAGCCATTGTTCATCACTAATATATTTCTTGGCTCATAAAGTCAATGGAAAGGAAACAAAATAATGCTTAGAGCTGGACTTCTATATTGATAAATCTTCTCTCCTCCTGAAAAGTAAGTCTGGAGCCATAACATTTCTCTGACACTTCTGCTGAGCCCATCCAAGGAAAGTCTGAAACCCCAGAATTCCCTTGAGCTCCATCGCTGTTAGTTCTAGCCACTAAGTGGGAAGCAAACCTATTCTGCCTCGGGTATCTTAGCCTAGGACAGTGTCTATTTTGTCTTCTCTTACTTCATAGGGACTTTCAGTTTTATTGTTCCTCATAGTTGATCCTAAAGCTTCCTCAAAACATGTATAACAACTTTTATTAATTATTTGTGTAATTATTTACTTAATATCCTTGTCCTTATTTGGCTTTATACTTCAAGAGGTTTGGGGCCATGTCTGTTCCTTACATTATATCCCCAGTGCCTAACACAGTACCTAGGAGTTGATAAGTACTCAACTAATATTTTTCAGTAATAAGTCCGTGAAAAATTAGGTTCCATGACTACTGTCATTTTAAGAATTGAAAAGCAGCCATAGCCAGTGTGGTTAAGTGGTTTAGAGCACCAGTGGTAAGGATTAACAACAACAGAATTGAAAAGCAGTCACCAAAGAAAAATGTTAAATGGAAATATGGCTAGTTTGTGCAAACATATGTTATTTATGAGCAATCCTTGAGGACTTTAACAGAATCTATTCTAAGGAAATAAAGAAGCTATTCTATACTCCTTTCGTTTTTATTTGAGATTTTCATATGGATGTTAAAACATCTTTCATTCAAGAGAAAAATACAAAGTTTGTCTATACTTTAAAATATATTTATATTTAAAAATATAACAATAACCTAGACATTCAAATGAAATCATTAGCTTGTTCATCCAGCATTTACTAACTAACCCACATATGCCTAAGTAGGCTTCACTAATTATCACTAGGAAAGTGATACAGATAAAAAGCAAACATAAACTTTTTTCTCAAATAAAAATAGAGGACTTGAGGAATGTACACAGATATCTTTCAAAATGAAGAGTACAACCAAATATTCAGGTCATTGCACATGAATATTGCAGAGCAAATCTTTAAATCAAACCTTTGATCCTATTTCAGATATATAGCTCTTTGCAATATTCACATACCCAACATGTCAGTGATCACTGAATAATATGCATCTGAATCTATATAGAAAAGATAGTCAGAGGTGAGATAAAATGGACAAATAGCATTGGAAGATGGCCAGAATATTGAAAGCAGGCAGAAGGAGTAAAAATGAAAGAAGAGAGACTTATGGGTCTTGAGTGAGAGACCCTGAGTTCCACCCTGGTACCCTAAGCCTTAGAATAACTGTTTGCTCCCCATCATCAGAGAGGCCATCCTTCACCTGGGAAAATCTGTATTTCCACAGACTCGGAACTTACCGCTGAAGACTTCCAGATACACCGGTTGGCTTGGGATAAGGTTATTGCTCCTCTGACATCTGTATTCCCCGCTGTCCTGGAATGTGGCATTCACAATGTCCAAACTTGGAGTTGTGACTGCGAGCACAGTATTGTTGTGGGGTCCACTTCGTGGAGTTAACGTCAAGGGAATTGTTCCCATTACATGTAAGAGTCACATTCTCTCCTCTAAATATTCTATTCCAGGGTGGGTTCAAGGACACCATAGACTTCCAGGCGGCTTTGAGAAGATCAAATTGTGAAGAGAGATATAGAGGGGGAAACATCATAGAAAATTAATTGTCTAGGCTTCAAAATACAGATATACTAATAGTCAATCAATGGTCAGTCTACCCCAGGGGTGGGCAAACTTTTTGACTCGAGGGCCACAATGGGTTCTTAAACTGGACCGGAGGGCCGGAACAAAAGCATGGATGGAGTGTTTGTGTGAACTAATATAAATTCAAAGTAAACATCATTACATAAAAGGGTATGGTCTTTTTTTTTTTTTTTTTTTAGTTTTATTCATTTCAAGCGGGCCGTAGTTTGCCCACGGCTGGTCTACCCTCTACTGATGTTGATAAGACCCTCTCCTGTTTGGTACGATTTTAAAAAGGAGTAAACACTGGTGTGGTCCCAGGGAGCTCCCTACCTAGGAAGAAAGAGGACAAAAATGCAGGATATTAAATAAATAAATAAACCAAAAATTTAACACATGGTATAAGATAACTCATTTAATTCTCTTGATTTCAATTTCAGAATTTGTAATTGAGGACTGCAACCTCTTTTCAGGCAGAGACAATGTCTGTCATGTTCAACCCTAGCTTGACTCAATGGCTGGCACATGGAGTGAATGAATGAGTGAGTAACGGATGCATAACTCTGTTGTGAGTGTTTATGCAGCAAACAATATATGCCAATTCTGGAAGGTAATGAGAAAGACCAAGAGGTTCAGTCTTAAAAAGCTTCCAAGAACAAAGAGATGTGATACAAATTTGAACTGAAGCTAAGGAAGTAGCAGGGGGTGATGAAGAAAGGATGATGCAATAGAAAGAGAGCCAGATTTGAATCCAAGGCACTTATGTTAGAATCCAGTCCTTTCCTTGCTGTGTAACTTCCAGAAAATCACTAAACCTGAGCTTCAGCATCCTTAATTCTAAAATAACAACATTAAGAACGATGATGTAAGAATTGAATGAGAGTACATAATAGTGCCTGGAAGAGAAGCTGAGACATTTAAATGTTCAAAAGAAGTGGTTGTTGACATAAAAAGAGGAGGTGGTGACTTGAAAGAATGAATTGGTATGTGAGATGCTTTTAAGTGAGAGAAAAGAAGAAAGACAAGGCAAGGTGGACATGGGAAGTGGGTTGAACAGGGAGTTGCAGATTCATAATTAGAAAAATTATAATCATCATTAGAAAACAAAGATGCTGGAATGAAGGGAAACAGTGTGGGGAGGCAACACCCAGACACATTGAAACACCGAGTGAACAAAGACAGAGGACTCACCTGCTGGCATGCCATCTGGAGCTGCAAATGGTCAGAGAGGATAAATTAGTGTCCATCCCCAGCCTTCTGAGGCTCCTGAGGACTGGGGATCTGGGGGTAGGATGACATCTACATTCATGGAATTTTAAGGGCTAACCAGCTTCCTAGGAATTTGATCCTGAGATAAGGAAATTCTCTTTCTCTTACTCTCCCCCACCCCCCTTGTCCTCTGGAGATGCCAGAATGATTGGAAATAACCAGGCTCTCAGTCTAGCTTTTTGCTTAGATGTTGCTCAGCCCTCTTTCCTCTGCTTTCCAGTTTGTCTCCACTACAGAACCCCTGGGAGATGTCCCAAGGTTTGGGCATGGCCTAGAAAAAGTCAGCACTGAAACCAGCAATCCCACCCCAGCTGCTTCCTAGATCCATTTTGGCTGCTGCAAGAGGGGCGACTGAACCTGTACTTACAAAAGAGCAGCAACGCTACCCACAGCAGGGCAGGGCCTCCCATGGAGGTGGACATCTCTCCTAGGGCCTCCAAGTACAGACTGAGCTGAAGTCTAGGGCCTTAAGATAGGCTTAAAACCGAAAAGGAGAAGGAAATGATTTCTGTGTCCTATCTGGTTACCTGATCAGCTGTGCCTGGGTTTGCCTCCTTCCCTGGAGATAAAATTTGGAGTGGTGCCTAATTGGGCAATTTTATATGTACCTCCTTACTCCCCATCCCACCTCCATAGACATATCTGGAATCTAGTAAAAGACAGTCACAGGGCCAGACACACAGTCAGAGGACATTCTTAAACTGTCTATCAATGCAACTTAGAAAAGTGGGGTACAGGCGATGTTTCATTCATTCCCCACAATAATTCTATGAAGCAGGTGCCTTCATTACATTTTATAGGTAGGAAACCTGAAGCAAAGGGAGGTTAAGCAACTTACCTTAGGTAGATACTAAATGGCTAATTTGGGATTCAGACATTTAAAAATCTAACCCTAGAGGAAAACCTTAATCATGACAATATACCTTTTATGCATGTCTACGAGTATGGCCAGCGATTGCTGAAATTCTGTTGTGGCTCTCCAGAGCTACTTGTATAGTAGGCCGTTAGCTAGATGTTAACAAAAAGGAAGGGAGCACATGGAACCAGCCGGATTAACTAGGAAAGGACACTCCAGGCATCCGAGTAGGCAGGAAAGATGCTTCACAACCACCCGTTGACAGGGGAAGGGAGAGATGGCACAGAGGATGTCTTTTCACTAAGCACAGGCACAGTGGAAGCCAAAATGATGACCATAAAGGGGAGGAGAAAAACCCAGGGAAATCTGGGAAAAGATCAGATAGGATAAGGACACAAGCCAGGGAAAAGCCAGGAAAGAGACTGAATAGTCTGAAAGAAGGCCTGACTCCAGGAAATATAATGATAGCCTGCCAAAGGCCTGCCTCCGGGTGGCAGCTACGTGGGCTGGAGTGCAGTGCCAACCACACGGCCCAGGTGCCATTGAGTCTTGGTGACGGACGTGCAGATAGGCCATGAGGCAGAGGGAAGTTAGGTAACTTGCCCACGGTTAGCCTTGGGTGCTGGGGTGATACAGCTCTGGGCCCTGTTGACTATCTTGGGTCTGGTGAGCCCAAGTGTGGGCTTGCAGCCTTGGAAGCTGGACTTCTTCTGCAGTGAGATGGAGCTGAACCCCCTGGTTGTGGATGAGACGTTGGGCGCGGTGTACCTGGGGCCAGTGGGCTCGATCGACCAGCTGGTGCTGGGGAAGTGCCTCCTCAAGTGGGGCAGCCTTTCCAAGGGCTCCTACAAATCTTGCCACCATCGCTTAAAATCCTCCTACGCATGTTATCTCTAGGGAGGTGACCTCTTAATTGCTCTGCCAGCTTGTTCAGCTGCCTGCCTCAGTTTCCCTATTCTACTTGTCCTGGCTTACCGGCTTGTCTCAATAGTATCTGTTGTGAACATTAAAATATTTAATATAGTGAAACGTTTAGAACAGAGCCTGGCAAATAGTTAATGCTTTGTATGTTAGTCATTACTGTGACTGTGATTATTTTATAAAGAGCTTTGGACTTGAAAATAGAAGAGAAAGAGACCACTTCCCCAACTTCCTGGTCAGTTCACAGAGGAAAAATACCCAAAAGCTGGAAAAGCCACTAGTGGGTCCATACATCCTCCAAAGGATGCAGCCAGGTCGCGCAGAAGCAATTGTGTGAGTGGGGCAGGGCCTGCCTCCCACACAGGGCTCCCTGCATTCGGAGACTTTGTTCTGGAGGGGTTGGGCGGGGTTTCTCAGATCATTCCTGGGTGTGGCTGTGGACAGAGAAACCCCAATTTTGCAGAGTCAAGCCAAATGTAGTGTAGGCCAGGTTTATTTTATGCTTTCTTACAGAATTACACAGTTAAGAAATGGAAACAGCCTCCTCTTAAAGGAATTCCTTTAGGTTGTTAGCTGATAAGAACAAGAGGTCTTAGCCCAGCCAAGAACATTTGCATTTTAATAGGTAAATTTTGAAGCCCTAATCCTTTAGGACCTGGCTGAACAGCACTGTGACCAGTGTGTTTCTGGGGGTGAGGGTGGGTAAGAGTGGGGGCTGGGAAGTGAGGACTGCCAGGGGGTTGTCTGAACCTCTCAGGGCTTATTCCCTGTGTTATTGCCTGCAGAGGACCATGAGGAAATGTGAGTGTGAGTGTGTGTGTGTGTGTGTGTGTGTGTGTGTGTGTGTGTGATAGGGGTGGGGCAGCAATGAGTATTGCATGTTGCTTGTCTCAGTGATGGGTCTGCAGGATACATTTTCAGCATTTACTGGCAGCCAAATGTCCTGTAATACCCAGGATGGCCTTGCATATTAAAAAATGTATGGTCAGCCCTAACCGGTTTGGCTCAGCAGATAGAGCGTAGGCCTGTGGACTGAAGGGTCCCAGGTTCGATTCCGGTCAAGGGCATGTACCTGGGTTGCGGGCACATCCCCAGTAGGGGGAGTGCAAGAGGCAGCTGAATCAATGTTTCTCTCATCGATGTTTCTAACTCTGTATCCCTCTCCCTCTCCCTTTCTCTCTGTAAAAAAAAAAATAAAATAAAATATATTTTTATTTTATCAACAAAATATATATTTTTTTAAATGTATGGTCAGATCGTCTAGAATTATTTGAGCCTTTGAGCCTTAAACCTGTTTGACCAACAAATGCAAAGTTTTCTATTTTTTGTACATACTAGATTTTATAGGAAAGAAACTATCACGCATACTGAGGGGAGATTTTGCTTTGTTTTTCCTGGAACGGCATCATTAAATTGTTCACTATTTCAGAAAATCTGATCACCAACAGCTACGCCGTTCAGATTTGTATCGCTGACACCTTACCCTCATATCAGGCTGTATTTGTTATCACCATATTCATCATGAATATATTTGCTCATTATAAAGTTATTTTATTTCTTCTTTATATTAAAATTGGGAATTATATTGATTTAGAAAATAAAAATGCGTATAGGTAGGCGAGGTGGGTTCAGTTTCAGGCTCCTGAAACTTCCACAATTTTAGGGGCCTTCCTTAAAAAATGAATAGAAAATTATGAACATAATATTCGATGTTAGAATGACTATGTAGAACAAAAAAATGAATCACAACAAATTACAAAATGCAAAAGCTGAAAAATAACATGAACATTACAAAACCCAGGAAAAATGACAATGTGCTGCTTGACACTCTACTATAATACTTTCCTTTTCCTTCATATCTTTGCTACATCTTCTCATCAGCTATTCTAATAATATTTTTATAGAGAAACTAGAAATATAATTCATTCTTTCCTCTAGCATCACTGATCAGCATTTATTTTCTATTATTGATAGTTGAAGTGCATTAAAAATGCAATTCTTATGAGATATTCTCGCCGTGTGTAGTACTACTAGAGGTTTGTGCCTTCCAAACACAAGAATTTTGATAAATTTTATATTATCTTATTCCAATCATGATTATTCTGTATTGAATGTATTCCTGATAAGAGAGAACTTCCATTTTCACTAGACACAAAGGAATCCAATTCTCTGCTTACACATACCCTATGCTTGTAAAAAAAATGACAAAATTGCCTTCTGACTTCAGATATTTCAACCTTGGTTTTCCTTTACCACCTACAAATGTCCAGTGTCAAGTACTGGATGGAGCAGGGGCTCATACTGTGACATGGCCCTAGGCCCTTCACCTTGTGCCCAGAAGCCAGGAAAGTGGGCTCTTTGGGAGGATTTTTCTGGAAGCCATTTCTGCCCCAGAATGGCTCGCAGTGCCTTACCATACCTGGACGTGACTATGAACCACACATATCTGTTACACTAAACCAGAACTAAACATCCTCAGCTTAAGTTCACCTTAGCCGGGTCCCAAAAGCTTCCTGCAACTAACATCATGCTCCTGATAGGAACCAAAGTGTGACAGAGGGAAGCCTGAGGGCGAGAAGAACGTAGTCTTGTCCAAATGTGGTTAAATATGTTTCGTAAGTTTTACAGAAACAGACGACCTCTTCCAGGAGTTTGGAGGTGTCCTGAAGCTTAACTTTCATTAGTTCCACCATAACTCCATCTCTGGTAGGCAAGTTCATAACCTTTGGATTTCTTCTCAGGGTCACAAAGAAAATGTTCCAAATGTAGGTCATGAAAGGGAGCCTGGCTGGACTGAAAACCACTGGCCTCATTTTAAAGAAGGAGAAAGGGCCAGAAGAAAGGGAAACAGAGGCCTACACAGAGGAAGTTCCCAATGGACTTTTCCTTCAAAACGGACCAGACTAACACAGAGGTTAATAAAAACAACAGAATAGCAAGTGTCTGATCAAAATTAAAATGTGTGTTCTAAACACTGGACTGAACATTGGAAATAGTGCAGTGTCAGAAAATTCAGATCATTTTGGTAGCCATTCCTATAGGCCAGTGTTTCTCACAATCAGAGATTTGCACAATTTTTAATGAAAAAAATATGTACATTTTTATTGGTGATAATCTTAAAAAATTAATGTAAATATGTTATGACTCATTCAGATGAGTCATTGCTACTTGATTTCAGTGCCTACATTAGCATTTTTTGTTTACAATTTACAACTGCATCCAGTGACTATCAAATGAAGTCTCGTTGCACCTAAGAACATGCGTTAAAAACAGTGGAAAGTGGAGAGAAAGACTGAACCAACATGAGGCCCACCACAAAAACCTCAGAGACAGATGTCGGAGAAGGAAGGGGCGTTTATCTGAGGCGTTCCTTGAGATAAACTTTAACCGTGCAAGTGTTCGGCCAGTTAAAGTAGTTGCCCCCAAAGAGACTACCTTGTGCAGGCAGGGCCCGGGGCAGGCATTGTCATCTGACCTTCTATTAGTGTAATTACGATTGCCGGAGGAATTATGCCACATACACAGTTACAGTTGCAATTCACATAGCAATCTATTCTCCTTTTAACATTGCAGTGGGCACAAAGCTTATCAGCACACAGGACACTGTTACTTACAAAATTCCTGGTGCCGTGGGACAGGCTTAAAGGGAG